AAAAACCTCTCGGATCAGTTTTTTGCCAGCAAAGACCAAAAATTTTATGAGCGTGGAATTATGCTACTACCAGAAAGATGGCAAAAGGTGTTGGACCAGAACGGTCAATATATAATTTAAAAAGTATTTGTTTATTATACGAAAACTGTCTTTAATTTCCACAAAAAAAAACGAAATGACTTTCCGAACAACCCTATAATTAAAGCAAATCCTTCGAACAAGGAACACTTACATAACAAGGACTTCGGCTTCCATTACGGTATCCTGCACATATCATTCTTGGAGTATACACAGGAGGACATTCGAGGTCAGAAACAACTGGTAGTGCGACTTTTTGTAATTGTGTTGGGATGGTTTCGCTGGTAGAATCTAAATCTCCCCAACCGGAAACAACAGCTGATGCTCCCACTGCGGGTTTTTTTGTCGCAAGGGTAATTGAAGCTATATTTGGACCAATAGTGAGTGGTGAAGCAAGTCTTATTAAACCTATGTCATAATCCTGAGTAATATTACTATAACTGGGATGAACGTATATATTTGAGGCTCTTATCACCACACCACCTCTCATGAATTTGTCTGTTCCCGCCCGAATACTTACGTTTGCAGCACGCATTCTGAAAATGGAAAAATTTAATCAGTAGGAAATGTTGTAATATGCGAAACAAAATGGTCAATTTTGTTATAATGGATGCTGAAACTAAGTAAAATCTCTGGCTTTATGTTTACAATGATTAATAGTGATCCGTTATAGAATGGGTTAGAACATCATGAGCATCCTATCTAGTAATAATTTATTATCCGGAGATGCGAAGACCAGTTGTCCTAATTCATTTGAAAAAATACGAAATAATAATGTAGGCTAACGTCGACCAGGTGACAAAAAGGGCGAGATTCGTGACTGAGTTTAAAGTTCGAATGTAGTTTGTGATCGTTTGTTGAGCATTATTATGTAAATTAAAAGATCAAAACCAATATGAGGGAAGATTTTTACGAAGTACCTTTTACCATTTTTATACAACCATAATATAATTACTAAATTGCATTAATTTCCTATTAATAGCTGCTCTGGTTCCAGAGAATTGCAAGGATTGACATCCATCTTAGTTCGTAAGAACACTGATGTGGGATAACTCAACTCGAATCGAGTAACGGTGAATACTAGTCATTGGACTTTGCATTTAGGGTTTTTAAAATAAGTTTAAAAAGTATCAGGACGCAGATAAAAAATTAATATTTAAGAAAGGCATGTTTAAAAGAACGTGAAAATATTTGCGCTCCTTTACGCATTTGCATATTACCTAAATGGGATTATCTCAAATGAATTACATCTCTCTATTAGTACCTGATACTGATTATAGCATAACATACCTGCTTAAGCAGTGAGCTGCGGAAACAACCCAAAGTCTTGAAATTATTGACGCATCACAGTCTGAAGTTTTACTACCATCCACGTTTATTTGAACTATATAAGGAATTTCCCTAATTGTTGCATTGCTTCCTCCTGAAATTCTGGTAGAATCCGATTCAGCCAGCTGATAGGGTAAAGCTATAGAAAATCTGATATTATTTACATTCAATGCTAAATAATATATTAGTACCAGTAGGTAAATAACTGTTCACTGAATATAGCAAATAAAAAATTTACCTAAAGCAAAAGGTGCGAAAGCAGCCAAAATTAAAACAGCTACCATCTTGGTCGATATACCTATGTGTTGTTGTGAAAGGAAAGCTCTTCTTATAAAGGTATTTCTTATCTGTTTTTGAGTATTTCGTTAGAAAATTTACTTTTTGATGCGGTTTCCTTATCAGTTTATTTGTAAATAATTACTTGAACGTATAGAAACTGTACATTATCACAAAAAAAATTAATGAATTTATGCGATTAAAAGGGAGGCCCTTCCAACGAGTTTCCCGATAGTGCTGCTACAAAAAATTACGCGTGTCATTTTAAATTAGTCGTGTGCATCCTATGACGATAGTCCTTGATAAACATTATTAAATTTTATTTAATTTTCATACATAGAAAATGATATTTCATATAGATGATTTGTAGTAGGCTTAGCTTAGCTTAGCTTAGGCCTTGTTGTTGCTATTAACTATCTGCAAGACATACGTATATACCGTTCCTTGCTACATCTTATGGCATAAGTTATTATTATATTGAATTTGCTAGTATGTATGTAGTTTCACCTGCTAAAAGTGGTGTTTCCTGTTATATAGCAACGGCACCCATGTATTTTTTCTGTGCACATGTGATACAGCCATATTCATCATCATCATAAGGTCGTCAGTTCTAAGAACGATTGGACACGCACCTCCATTCTTTCCTGTCCTGAGCTAATCTTCGCATTTCCCTAAATCTAGAACAACCCAAATTCTGAACTCTTTGCGAACAGTAATCTAATCTAGGTCTACCTTTACCCCTCCTAACTCCCGTTTCTGCATCTAGATATGTCTCTGACTAGACCTTCATGTCTGAGAAGGTGTCCTACCAACCTATCTCGCTTATTTCTTCTTGATTTTCTTTTTCATAGAATCCTGTTCTCCTATTTTTTCTAATATCTCTTCATTTCTAACCTTCTCTCTCCACGGTATCCTCATCATTCGCCGATAACACCACATTTCAAAAGCATCTAACCTTTTCTTTTCCGCCGCGTCCACCGTCCATCTTTCGCATCCGTACAACGTCGCGCTCCAAACATACACTTTTAAGGATCTCTTTCGATTTTTACAATAATAATTGAGATGCTAGTCAAAATGTAACATATTTCCTTTTTCATCTAATAAACTAACCAAACTAAATAGAATAAATATTTTAGATTCGAGATTAATTGTAAATATTTTACCTGCAAACATGTACCTAACGTATGGTACATTATTTTTGCGACCAAATCTGCTTTGTAATTAAGAAACTCAATAAATAAAACCTTAGAAATGGTTATCTTTTCTGTTAGCAGTTGCAAGAAAATGAGAAAATCTGAACCAGAGTATTCCCTCCAATAATATGTGCTAGGGAATATGTCCAAGAATATAAATGTTCACTCCGCGCTGATATCACACATCCTAAGAAATAACGTAGATGTATAAAGGGCGTGCAAGGTAACACGAGCACGTGTCTTACTGTTCACCTGAAATTTATCATGTCATGTCTAAATGACAGAACAATACCATAAAACACAGATACATAAGTGTTTTGATTATTAAATCCTCTGCAGATCTAGCGATAAAACCCATTTTAGAATTTACTCCGGTTACAATATAATTTACTCGTATGATTAGGAAAAATTAAGATTGAATCAGAAGCCACGTGAAGATCGTACAATAAGCGATAGTCAAAGGAATCTGCTTATCACCAGTATAATTACAGAGTAGTTATGAAAGATTAATGAGTAGGTATGTTCAAAACGAAAGTGATACTACGTTCACTTCACTCAAAAAGATCCAAAAACCGCAAAAATGGTAATAAATACTTTCCGGTTCATGTTTGTGGGATATTTTTCATTGCTTCACTTGTACTTACATATAGGGTAGGATCGGCTCAGATTTAGATAGGGTAGAGTAAAAAGAACTGTTTCCAGCTTAGTTACCTTAATAGTAAAAGCAAATCCCTTGTGTATTAACTCGTTTGTTATTCCGATAACTGGTTGTTTCTAGATTTTCACACGTGTGAGCAGCTATTGATAAAACCTTTTCTACGAACATTTGTATGTGAAGGTTTTAATTAAATAATTTTTAGGCAATTTCAGATAAAATCATTGCTAATTGACATCAACAAAACGTTCTATGTAATGGAAGGCACGAATGAAGATATTTTAATTCATAAAACTATTTACTTGTAAACATTCATGCGTACCGTATATTTTTCTGAACATGCACAATTAATTAAAGCAAATCTTTCGAACAAGGAACACTTACATAACAAGGGCTTTGACTTCTATTACGGTATCCTGCACATATCATTCTTGGAGTATACACAGGAGGCCATTGGAGGTCCGCAACAACTAGTAATGTAACCTTTTGTAATTGTGTTGGGATGGTTTCACTGGTAGAATTTAAATCTCCCCAACCAGAAACAAAAACCGACGTTCCCACTGCAGGTTTACTTCTCGCAAGAGATATTTCAGATATATTTGGACCAAAAGTTAGTGGTGAAGCAAGTCTGAGTAAACCTATGTCATAATCCTGAGTAACATTACTATAGCTGGGATGAACATATACATTTGAGTCCCTTATTACCACACCGCCTCTCATGAATTTGTCTGTTCTCACTCGAATACTTACGTTTGAAATAAAAATGACAAAATGTGAAATAATTACACAGGTTGGGGTATGCAGTTTGAGAATATCTTTGCTGTACTCTTATCGAAGAAAGGATGCAATTACAATAATGACTAAATTGTATTAACGTATTATTGATTATATAGTTATAGAAGTAGTTTTGAGAAATGTGAAGATTGACATTTAACTAAGCGCGTGAGAACACTGATGTGGTGGGATAACTCGACTCATCTCGACTACGGCGAAAACAAATCACTGCACTTTGCATTTACTGTAAAATAAGCTTAAAAAATATCCGGATGCAGATAAAAATTAATGTTTAAAATATTTATAACTAACTTTTATATCCTTTGGGGTCTTATGCATGATGATCGGTGGAGCAGTTAAGGCGTGTAAAGCAGAGAAACAAACAAACACATTCGAATTTATAATATTAGGATTAAGTGATTGTCCGGGTGTGAAGTTTTGTTCCGGTTGGCTGGATTGCAGTTCCGGGATAACTTTCAATATCGGTTTCTGCATATTTCTGATTTCCACTCTTGGATGAGTAAATGTTGATTGTTGCTGGATGAATGCTGCTTCTTGAAACTTATACGTCCAAACCAGTGCTGTTCCTTATGGAGAATCTGCACCTTCTCCCAACGAATTTTTTGATTGTTTGTTTAGGCGTATTCTACTATGGCCGATCGTGTTTATTATTCCCCTTCTTGGTGTGTGATAAATGTTCTTTTATCTGCCTTTCCAACGGTCTCTTCGTTTTCCTAATGTAGAACTGAGCGTATTGACATGGAATTTGTATACGGTTCTTTGTTTCTTTCTGTGTTGATCACTTTGTTTTCGTGAGATGTCCACGCAAAGTGTTACATGAGTAGAAGGTTGTTTTAATTCCAAAGTGGTTGACCAATCTTCCAATCTTCTCGGGAATCCCCTTTACGTATGGTAGTCGTAGTAGTTGTTTGTCCTCTTACAGTTTTAATGTTGATCCGTTAGTTTTATATTGCTATACAAGGAAGAGCATTGGTTTTGGCGTAAGTTTAACAAACAAGCAGGATCCATACAACAACAATCAACGTTTAGACATCGAAATGGGAAAATTAGTAACATATAGAAACTGCTGTTGAAATTAACATCGGAACTGCACCAACCAATCAGAATAAAATGTAGATTTAAGTTTACTATGAGTTACCTTATGACGATTCAGCATTTACAATATCCTACAAAATATCAAAGACCTATTTCTACACTTTTATTGTGTATAATAATTTTTTCCTGACACTTTTGTTTATACGGAAAAAAAAACAATCTTCTTTCACCTGCCGTTCCTACCGAATTCGAATTAAATTCATCTAGTCTCATCTCAAAGAGAACTTGTGGATCAAAAAATGTTCAACTGCACCTGCTTCGACCCGACACTATCTGTCCATGCAACTATCCCGCCGCTTTTCTTAGATTACGCACGTGTATCCTTCTTAAATTTATGTATATAATTTTTATTTAAATGTTTTTTCCCCACGTACAAAATGTTTGTATAGCTACACTCTTTTCGTTGATTGCTTAAAACATGCATAAAATACGTGATTGCTTCAACTTCGATAATTTTTTATGAAAGCAAACATTTTTTCGTCGAATAACACTTTGAACTGTACAGTTTGACAAAATTTTGATCACTATAACATATGGACCAAGTAAGTGAGTGAACTTTGCGATAAAAAACTCGTGAATGCCTTAACTTGGCTCATTTTTTATGTAGGTAATCATTTTTTTCATTAAATAATACTTTGAACTCTACAGTTTGACGTAAGTTTGATAACTATTAGTGTGTGAACTTTGCGATAAAGGATTACTTCCTCCTCACCCGGGGTCATCAGGAATACCGGCAACATACGGAGCTTATTCTTAACCAACGTCAATACCATCATTGCTAATGGTTTTCTCCAATATAACAGATACCCTGCAAATTTTGCGGCCGCCTCTTGTTTCAGCAGGGCTGGGAAAAAATGTAAGCGAGCAATATCAATATAATTTTATTGTTCGGTAAGTCAGAAGTTCTTAACGTCCAATTACATATTATTACATATCACCTTTCTTAAAACATAAAGGACATAATTTGAAGTTCATTTAATGTCAGTATAATTTTGTACGCTTTCAATTTATCAGTCATCTATTCTAACAGAATGAGGTATTGTAGGGATGAGTTACACAGATAGAAGAGTGATACTTAGTTTGTATAAAGTTCAACAGGCAGCTATAGAGATGGGGCTGCAACGTAGAGAAGTAAATATTAGGAACGGAGTCAGACAGGGATGCACACTGTCACCTCTACTTTTCAATCTAATTAAAGACAGTGCAACTGTAGGGATAGATATACAGGGGCAAAATATTAGTATACTTAGATTTGCAGATGATATAGGAGTATCAGCATCTAGCAAGGAGGACTTAGAGATAGCTTTAAATAAAATG